GGTAAATCATTACCAATGCTTGTTAAGGTGTGTAACCTTGCACATATATAATTGAAGATTTAAAAAAGAAGAAAAATAATTTACAAAAAAAAATTTGTAGTTGTTTTTTGTAATTAAAGAAAAGTTCTTATTTTTGATGGCGGGCATGATAACTCCTCACTGGAACATCGGAATCCGAAAATTCCAACGGTGTTAGAAAGAGGACATGTCTGGCTCTCGTATGAACTAGGATTATTGACTTCGCTCTAAAATTAACAAAATGGTGGACCTTTGAAAAAATATTTTTGGAAAATCGCAGATTTTTTTTTTACCAAAAACTAAGTTAATAAACAAGGAAGATCTTCATCGATTGGCTTTATCCTAATTAATACGATAGCTATACACTCACAGAGAAACGTGTAAAAATTTGAAATCGATTGGGTTATTAGTTTTTGAGTTATCGCGACCGCCATTCGCAAAAAAAATGTTTAGAGAAAAACGCGTTTAAAGTTTGAGAAGCCCCTCAGCTGTCACTTGATGCAGACACAATAAATCGGCTATATCTTCAAGAGTTCTTAAGATTTTCACTTGAAATTCTGTAGGGACATTCAAACATTAGTGTAGATTCGAATTATATATTTTTACCCCCCAAAAAGGGGGAGGGGTTCCCCTTAAAGCAAAATTGTTACACGATATTCGGTACGCCGCAGTGATAAAAATTTAATTTCAATCAGACACCTGTTCGAAATACATATGAAAGCTATAACTGCATCTGTATCAATTTCAACAAACCGCAATTCAAGTCTCAATTTGATTTGTGCAAAATTTCGTGTTAATCGGACAAACATTAGGAATTTGGTGTACCATTAAGGTAAAATCGGACGAATGTATATGTGGGAGCTATATCGAAATCGGAACCGATTTTTTCTGAAACTTACCACACATCATTGTAGACTCAATTCAGTACGCTATGCCAAATTTCGTGGAAATCGAAGGATATATAGGGACTTTGGTGCACTATTTACCTTAAATCGAAAGAAAATATATATATGGGAGCTTTATCTAAATCTGAACCGATTTTCACAAAATTTAACAGACATCGTTCTAGATCTTATTCAGTACGCTATGCCAAATTTCGTGCAAATCGACTTTGGTGCACCATTTACATAAAATCGGACGAAAATATTTGGGAGCTATATCTAAATCTGAACAGATTTCTACGACATTTAACAGACATCGTTCTAGACCTTATTCAGTGCGCTATGCCAAATTCCGAGCAAATCGAAGGATATATAAGGACTTTGGTGCACTATTTACCGTAAATCGGATGAAAATATATATGGGAGCTATATATAAATATGAAACGATTTCCACACAATTTAACAGATATCGTTCTAGACTTAATTTAGTACGCTGTGCCAAATTTGGTGCAAATCGAAGGATATATAGGGTTATTGGTGCACCACATACATAAAATCGGACGAAAATATACATGGGAGCTATATCTAAATCTGAACCGATTGTCACGAAATTTAACAGACAACGTTCTAGACTTAATTTAGTACGCTGTGCCAAATTTCGTGCAAATCGAAGGATATATAGGGACTTTGGTGCATCATATACATAAAATCGGATAAAATTATTCATGGGAGCTATATCTAAATTTGAACCGATTTTCTCGAAATTTAACACACATAATACTAGACCCTATTCAGTACCCTATGCCAAATTTCGAGCAAATCGAAGGATATATAGGGACTTTGGTTCACCATTTACATAAAATCGGACGAAAATATATATGGGAGCTATATCTAAATCTGAACCGATTTTTCAATCGATTTCAATGCGGTTCGTCTTTGGGCCAAATAAAGCAGCTGTGCCAAATTTCATACAATTCGAATCAAAAATGCGACCTGTACTTTGTTTACAATTTAACATGGACAGAGGGACGGACGGACATGCATAAATCGACTCAGATAGTGATTCTATGCATATTCTCAATGGGAACCATGTATCTATCTCGTTTCCTTTTAACTGTGACTAACATATGCACAAAGACATAATACCCTGTACCACAGTGTATCCACGCCTTTGGTAGCTACTTGAAAAAATATTTTTGAAAAATCCACGCTTATGGTATCTACTTGAAAAAATATTTTTAAACCAGTGTGCGGAGCAGTATAGTCGGACGAGGCCTACCATACGATACCCTACACAACTACCACGGAACTCTAACTTTCTGCGGATGTTTATTCCGAGCCTGGGCAATATTTCGTGACTTTGCACCATCTTGCCCGATTACAGGTCAACAGCACCTCTTCCTTACACTGACATATTTTCCGGATATTACTAATATTCAGTACAGTCCTTGAAATTACTTCTCCAGACTCCCTTCACCGTTGTTTGTATGGTGATGTTCGTTATAACTGTATAAATTGCGGCACATCTGAAGGCAATACTGTCATTGAGATTCGTAATTTCTTGGGAGAAAAATACATCCGTCGCATTCAAATGGCTTCTGGAGTAACAGTTGCTAATTCCACTGCTCAAAAAGACGAACTTATTGTCGAAGTTAACGACATTGAGGCTGTATCGGGATCTGCAGATCTGATTCAACAATCAACCACTGTCCAAATCGACTAGAATAAACCACAAAAAATTAAGTTTTTGGTCCACTTCATTCCAATATTATTATGTGATCATCACCGAAAATTATAGGCGCTGTCCTTGACCATAACTGGAACCTCATGGAAAATTTCAAATCGATCAGCGTTATACTTCGGCCCTCTAGTGTGGTAATGGGTTACTAAATAATATATGAATACGTCTGCACCTGTAAATATTTATGTGTAACTCCCACATCCGAGTACATAGGACAATATAATTGCTATCAATTTAAAGGTCAACCACTCATCTTGTAAGTAATATCAACTTCTCGGGTCTATGTCATTCAGGGGTAAATATATATGCTATAGAATACAAATTTTGTCATTTTTCACACAAAAGTCAGAATCCATTTGACCAGCAAAGTATTGATCGATTATTATCAAAACATACATGCTTATTCTTTGACCCGATTCCCTTCTCTGTGTAAAAATTCGCAATATTTGGGCCAAATTGCGGCCTCTGAATCGATCAGAAAAACCAACAAAAATTAAGTATTTGGTCCATTTCATCCCCTAAATATTAACCGATCTTTACTCAAAAACAATAGGGGTCTTCATTGGCCAGAACCCATCCTACATGCAAAATGTCGTGAAGATTGATACATAACTGTGGCCTGTATCGTGTTTACAAATTATAATGGACAGACAGTCGGACGGACACACATGTCTAGATCGACTCAGCTAGTCGAGATATGACGATCGGTATACTTAAAGGTGGGTCTAGGACAGTGATGTACACGGTGAGAGGATGTCAATTTGTAAATGTATTTGTGAGGCTAGTACACAAAGCTAAAGGAGTCAACAACAAAGTTCGGTCTTTTTTACGTCGTCACTATCGCTGTCCATCTTCAATCTTTAAAAACCAAATTCGAAATGAAGTTTTGTTGATTTTTTTGTGGTCTAGGAGCTTCACACCGATCAAACGTACATGTTTGACGTGTTTGGGCCGCTTAAGCGTAGCCGCAAAATGATGCACACCACCATAGACATGTTTACTCGTTCAAGTCTCAACGACGACTAAACAAATGAGCGTAAGAATCCGTGTGAGTTGAGCTGACAGCTAGAGTACAAGGGCGTGCATCCCTGGTCTAGGACCAATATTTCACTGCGTTACAAACTATTGGGGCTGCACAAAGCTATAATACCCTGTAGGGTATAATTAACAAAATTAAAAAAAAATAATAAGTGATACAAAACTAGAAATTTAAAAATTTAAAAAATAAAATATATATATTTTTTTAATATGTTGAAGCATTATTCCATAGTTCAACAATTTTGTAAACTAAAAATATTTACATTTATTTATGTTTTTTTGTTATACAGTCTAACTAAATTTTTTGGGTGGAAAACATATAGATTCATATAAACAACACTAGAAATATTTATAAGAATATATTATATATTATACACATTTTTAGTCGAATATTTATGACTTAGCATAACATCTTTTTTATAAATCGATTTTTTTTAAAGCAGTCACATTGGTTTTTTTTTTTGATTTCTATGTACAATTGTTATTTTTTTTTATTTCTTTAAAAGAGCCGGAGAGCTGGAGGCATTTAATTGGGTAAAAAAAATAAACAAAATTTTTATAAAGAAAATAACAAAAAAAAAAAAAACAGAAAAATAAATAAATAAATAAATAAATACAATAAAAAAACATTTAGGACATAAATTCGTTTTTAAAAAACAATATATTAAAAAAAAATTATTAAATATTATTTCTTATATAAAAAGAATGTTTAAATATGTATTTAAATAATAATAATTATTAAATAAATAAATTTATTAAATAATTTTCATTTTTTTATTTTTTCTTATAAAAAAAAAATATTTCTTTGAAAATTTTAATTTTTTTATATTAAAAAAAAAATATATTTAAAACAATTTTTAATAGAAAACTGTGTTTATAGAATATTATTTTTTTCGGAAAAATAAAAAGAAATTAATAATTAAAATTATTAAATATTTTTTACGAAAAATTTTAAAGAAAATTATTATTTTTGGAAAAAAAAACCAAAAAATATTCTCCTTTCCGGTTCTCCCATATTTTTGGAGGATTTTTTTTTTGTTCACCAATTTCTTTTGGCCTACAGATTAGGTTTTATTTATAGCGTTCTACGTATCTCTGTATTAGGTTGTACGTATTATGTTTGCTTCCATGTATGCATATGTATGTATGTGTGTGTCTGATTTTATTCCCCTGTGTGTCTGTATTTGTTTCCTCTGTTTTGTTTGTTTATTATCCTAGCCTAAGTCCTTGTGGTATTCTCTTTACTAAATTCCTATGTGTTTTTGTTGTTAGTTTCACTTTTATTTTTGTTGATGTTGTTATTTTTCTTCATTCCACCTCTCCTATACAGGTATGGCACAACGTTTTTTACCCGTACTACTTTCACGACTTAGTGGAGGATTAAGTGGACTTACATTATTGTTACTGGATTGTGAACCTTTGGTCGAGCCATTACGTGAGCATGACGATAGGCTGCCACCACTGCCTCCGCCAGTGGCACAAGCTGTCTTACCCACACTATTGGTAACTGCAGTCATGGATGCAGGATTTGCTGTTGTCGTCCTTAAACTACTGCTGTCTCCTGTCACCGTTGTTGCTGTTGCAGCATTTCCATTCTCCGCTGCCGCCGCCGTTGGTTTACGTAAATTATCTGAAGACTTTGAGTTGCAAATAGGTTGTGTGGGCTCAGCAACATGTTGCTCACTGCTTCTCGCCGTGTTGCTGAGAATTGCCGCTGCTGCGGCTAATGTTGCTCCCGGTGTTGGTGGTGAGTCGCTGCTGCTGCTGTAATAATTGCCGGATAATGGCTATAAACTTGTTGTCAGCACGGTCTTGGCATTATGCGTTGTTGTCGATTCGTTGCATTTGGTCGATGTTGTCGTCACAGGGAGTGTAGGTGGAGGTGGTTGTGGGGCCACATGATTATATGCCGGTGGCTGTGCACCCGTACTCACCACCACTCCATTTAAACTATTCGCTATGGCATTTGCCGTGCAGTTATTCAACGAATGTTGCTGCTGATTGATTTTATTATTGTTGGCCACCACCTGTGCCTCATTAGCCTCCGTGGCCATTGAATTATTTTCGGGATGCGCCCCCATTTCTTGCTGCTGCTTATCGTTGTGATTATTATTTGGCACATATTGATCGGCGTAGGGTATTTGCTGATAGCTACCACTATCCAAATTGGTGAATATACTCGATGATATTGTAATGGTCTGTGTGGCCATTTCACACAGTTTCTTCTTTTGACTAACACTACTGTGTTCGGTGTTGGTGGGTGTGATATGTTTTTGAATTTTCTCCTCTTGGGCACAAGTTGCGGCCGTGACCACCGCAGCTGCCATCATTGAAGAGGGCCCAGTATTGGCCGTGCGATGGATATGGGAGCGCGGAGGCATCATACTTTGTCGAACATTTCGCTCGGGGCGTATGAGGATTATATAAAGCTGGAAAGAGAGAGGGGGAGGAGAGAAAGGGGAACATTAGAAATCAGAAGATAAATAAGAAAAATCAGTAAGGAAAGTAGTAAAGTCGAACTGGGCCGACTATATGGTACCCTTCACCACTTTGGGTATGTTGTACATATGTATCCTTACAATTGTATGACAACGATCCCTCGAAGGAACATACACCCTCCTGCAACCTATGCTAAATTTAATTTCAATCGGGCAGATTTAGAATCGTTTGCGTACACTGGGACGAATTTACGTTGTGCAAAATTTCGTGTCAATCAGACAAACATTAGGAGTCTGGTGCACAATTTACTTAAAATCGGACGAAAATACATATGTGGAACCTATATCTAAATCTGAACCCATATTCTCGAAACTTTACACACCTTATTCTAGACTCAATTCGTTACGCCAGGCTAAATTTGGTGGAAATCGAAAAATATATTCGGACTTTGATGCACCATTTACCTTAAATCGGACGAAAATATATATGGGAGCTATATCTAAATCTCAACAGATTTTCACGAAACTTAGCACACATCATTCTAGGCTTAAGTCAGTACGCTGTGCAAAATTTCGTGAAAATCTAAAGACATTTAGGGACTTTGGTGCACAATTTACCTTAAATCGGACGAAAATATATATGGGGGCTATATCTAAATCTGAACCGATTTTTACGAAACTAAGCGCACATCATTCTAGGCTTAAGTCAGTACGCTGTGCAAAATTTCGTGCAAATCGAAAGATACATAGGGACTTTGGTGCACCATTTACATAAAATCGGACGAAATTATATATAGGAGCTATATCTAAATCTGAACCGATTTCAGTGAAACTTTGCACACATCATTCTAGAACTTATTCATTATGCTATGCCAAATTTTGTGCAAATCGAAACATATATAGGTACTTTGGTGCACCATTTACCTTAAATCGGACGAACATATATATAGAGCTATATCTAAATCTGATCCAATTTTCAAGAAACTTAGCACACATCACTCTAGGCTTAATTCAGTACGTTATGCCAAATTTCGTGCAAATCGAAAGATACATAGGGACTTTGGTGCACCATTTACCTTAAATCGGACGAATCTATATATGGGAGCTATATCTAAATCTGAACCGATTTTCACGAAACTTAGCACAAATAATTCCAGGCTTATGTCAGTACACTGTGCCAAATTTCGTGCAAATCGGAAGATATAAAGGGAGTTTGGCGCACATTTTACCTTAAATCGGACCAAAATATATATGGGAGCTATATCAAAATCTGAGCCGATTTTCATGAAACTTAGCACACATTATTCTAGACCTAATGCAGTATGCTGTGCAAAATTTCGTACAAATCGCAAGATTTATCGGGACTTTGGTGCACAATTTACCTTAAATCGGACGAAATTATATATGGAAGCTATATCTAAATCTGAACCGACTTTCACGAAACTTAGCATACATCATTCTAGGCTTAAGTCAGTACGATGTGCAAAATTTCGTGCAAATCGAAAGACATTTAGGGACTATTGTGCACTATTTGCCTTAAATCGGACCATAATATATATGGGAGCTATATCTAAATCTGAACAGATTTTCACGAAACTTTATACATATCATTCTACTCTTAATTCAGTACGCTATGCAAAATTTCGATCAAATCGAAAGATATATGGGGACTTTAAATCTGAAGAAAATATACATAGGAGCTATATCTATATCTGGACCGATTTTTCCCAATCTGAAAAATTAAGAAAATTATTTTTTAAAAAATCCACGTCCCTTCTTAGTACCTAATATATATTTTTTTAAATTACTCACCTACTGTTAGTCCCTGAAATTTATATATGTCTATAAAGCCCTCCTATGTTTAACATTGTAACCCTTCCCTCTGAAGACCTTCAATTTCTACAATATATTTTCTTGTATACTAAATTATTACCCCCAAAATGTTATCTTATTAAACTATTATACAATATCCCTTAGGACATTAATCTAATATTACACACATTTATTCCCCCAGATCCACCTTTCCCCTGCCCATATCTATAAATCCTCCTTTCGGCACCATCTGCTCTATGAGCACGCACACAAATTTATTGTCTCCCAAATACAACCTAATTATCCTCATAAATTCCTGATTTCTTATTATCATCCCATCCCATGTCACCGTCTCACACCCCGTGGGAGTAAAGGCCTGCCATATGAGCAAACTTACCTTTGGTGAAAATAAACATGCTATCGTTACACTGGCCGATAAACTAATCGTTACCGACATCGATGTTATCCTCAGTGGTACATGATTGGCTGTACCAAAGTAGAGCGGGACAAAGGCCAGCCAAATGACACAGGTGGTGTACATGGTAAAACCTGTAGGGAATAGAGGGAAGAGAAAGACAAAAGCAAATAAATAAAAATGTAATGAATTGTAACAAATTTATTGAACAAATTAAAGGAAAAGACGTTGATAAGGATCGTTAGCAGGCGAAAAATGAAGCAGCTGTGGATCATAAGCTGTAAAAGAATTTGTGTTGAAGAGAGTTTTGTCATTATAGATAATTTTTACATTAATTTTAACAAATCCACGCCTAATAGTAGGTAATGAAATTTGGCTTTTAAAATTCCACGCCTAATAGTAGGTAATGAAATTTGGCTTTTAAAATTCCACGCCTAATAGTAGGCCATGAAATTTGGCTTTTGAAAAATCCACGCCTAATAGTAGGCCATGAAATTTGGCTTTTAAAATTCCACGCCTAATAGAAGGCCATGAAATTGGGCTTTTAAAAAATCCACGCCTAATAGTAGGCCATGAAATTTGGCTTTTAAAAAATTCACGCCTAATAGTAGGCCATGAAATTTGGCTTTTAAAAAATCCACGCTCAATAGTAGGCCATGAAATTTGGCTTTAAAAAATCCACGCCTAATAGTAGGCCATGAAATTTGGCTTTTAAAAAATCCACGCCTAATAGTAGGCCATGAAATTTAGCTTTTAAAAAATCCAAGCCTAATAGTAGGCCATGAAATTTGGCTTTTAAAAAATCCACGCCTAATAGTAGGCCATGATATTTGGCTTTTAAAAAATCCACACCTAATAGTAGGCCATGAAATTTGGCTTTTAAAAAATCCACGCCTAATAGTAGGCCATGAAATTTGGCTTTAAAAAAATCCACGCCTAATAGTAGGCCATGAAATTTGGCTTTTAAAAAATCCACGCCTAATAGTAGGCCATGAAATTTGGCTTTTAAAAAATCCACGCCTAATAGTAGGCCATGAAATTTGGCTTTTAAAAAATCCACGCCTAATAGTAGGCCATGAAATTTGGCTTTTAAAAAATCCACGCCCAATAGTAGGTAATGAAATTTGGCTTTTAAAATTCCACGCCTAATAGTAGGCCATGAAATTTGGCTTTTAAAAAATCCACGCCTAATAGTAGACCATGAAATTTGGCTTTTAAAAAATTTACGCCTAATAGTAGGCCATGAAAGTTGGCTTTTAAAAAATCCACGCTCAATAGTAGGCCATGAAATTTGGCTTTAAAAAATCCACGCCTAATAGTAGGCCATGGGAGGGCTTATTTAGGCCTCCTAAAAAATTATTTTAAAAAATCCACGCCTAATAGTAGGCCATGAAATTTAGCCATGATATTTGGCTTTTAAAAAATCCACACCTAATAGTAGGCCATGAAATTTGGCTTTTAAAAAATCCACGCCTAATAGTAGGCCATGAAATTTGGCTTTTAAAAAATCCACGCCTAATAGTAGGCCATGAAATTTGGCTTTTAAAAAATCTACGCCCAATAGTAGGCCATGAAATTTGGCTTTTAAAATTCCACGCCTAATAGTAGGCCATGAAATTTGGCTTTTAAAAAATCCACGCCTAATAGTAGGCCATGAAATTTGGCTTTTAAAAAATTCACGCCTAATAGTAGGCCATGAAATTTGGCTTTTAAAAAATCCACGCCTAATAGTAGGCCATGAAATTTGGCTTTTAAAAAATCCACGCCTAATAGTAGGCCATGAAATTTGGCTTTTAAAATTCCACGCCTAATAGTAGGCCATGAAATTTGGCTTTTAAAAAATTCACGCCTAATAGTAGGCCATGAAATTTGGCTTTTAAAAAATCCACGCCCAATAGTAGGCCATGAAATTTGGCTTTAAAAAATCCACGCCTAATAGTAGGCCATGAAATTTGGCTTTTAAAAAATCCACGCCTAATAGTAGGCCATGAAATTTAGCTTTTAAAAAATCCATGCCTAATAGTAGGCCATGAAATTTGGCTTTTAAAAAATCCACGCCTAATAGTAGGCCATGAAATTTGGCTTTTAAAAAATCCACGCCTAATAGTAGGCCATGAAATTTGGCTTTTGGAATATCCATGCCTAATAGTAGGCCATGAAATTTGGCTTTTAAAAAATCCACGCCTAATAGTAGGCCATGGAATTTGGCTTTTAAAATATCCACGGCTAATAGTTGGCCATGACAATTGATTTTTAAAAATCCTAGGCTAATAGTCGGCCATAAAATTGAATTTAAAAAAATCCACGCCTAACAGTAGGCCTTGAAAATTAAGTTTTAAGAATCTACGCCTAAAAGTAAGTCTTGATAAATAATTTTTTTAAAATCTGCGCCTAATACTTGACTTTGAAATTTAATTTTAAAAACTTCACGCCTTAAAAATTCTCCGCTTGTTGATAGGCCTTGAAAATTTATTTTTCAAAAAATCTGCAGGTTAATGACAGTCCTTCTGTTTTTTTTAATCCACCTTCTTAAGGATCCTTGTAAATTTGTCGAATATCTCCTCATCCCTTTTTGAATACCCTCAACCCCGAAACACTTGATAACTTAATTTCCCTTCATTATCATCACTGACAAATGCCAGCTCTTAACACAATTTCATTTCACCTCCTGCTCCACAACTCTACCTCCCTTCCCCTTCATAACCATTGAACTCCACTCTTCCCATCACTTACCGATATGTTTCGATTCATTAAAAGCTTCCGGTATTTTGCGTGTCAGCACCGCATAGACCGTACACACCACAATCAATACAATCGGATAGAAGAAGGCGATGACATACGAAGCATCGATATACGAATCGCATACCAATAGGTTATCCTCGCGTGTCGGATGATGATGCATGGCATGTGAGGGTGCTATTAGCATCCAGACGCCATTTATCAATATCTGTTGTCATGGCAGAATGCAGCACGTGGATGAGGATGATGACGGGTGGGTGGCACAATGAAGTTGTTTTGGAAAAAAGAATGAATGAAAAAAGATTTTGAAATTACAAAATTAATTATTTATGCACAATATAGATGACAGATACATTATTTGTGTTAAGTGGAAAAGGGAATTTCTCCCCTTCCCCTCTCACTTTCTTTTCACAAAATTATCTTATCTTACCTGCACGGATATAAAAAATGAACATATCACCAATTGCGATTTGGGACTTATAAACGAGGGACGTTTTGCCGACTGCTTGCCTGCCTTAAAAATCCTGGCAATGCGATTCGTTTTGGTTAGCAGGGCGGCATAGACCACAGTGAAGCAGAAACCCACAGAGAATCTAAATGGTGAAGAGAAGATAAAAATAGAAATAAAAAAATTTTCAAAATTGTTAAAAATAAGTTTATGTAAAATTTAACATCCGTGCAGGCACATGCAGGGAGTTCTAAAATGTGGTAATAAAACAACTTTTTCATTTCAATAAAAAATGGAAATGGAAGAGATTTGGATAATAAAAAAGTAAAGAAGTTACAGGATTTATGGGGTTTGTTGCATTTTATGGCCATAAACCAGTTTTAAAGGAAGAGGAATGGAAATATGAACAAATTTTTTTTATTGGAAAGTTTAAACCAGAAAGAATGTTTTTTTTAATCCACGCCTAAAGATAGGCCTTAAAATTTTTTTTTTTTAAATCCACGCCTAAAGATAGGCCTTCAAATTTTTTTTTAAATCCACGCCTAAAGATAGGCCTTCAAATTTTTTTTTAAAAAAATCCACGCCTAAAGATAGGCCTTCAAATATTTTTTTAAAAAATCCACGCCTAAAGATAGGCCTTCAAATATTTTTTTAAATAATCCACGCCTAAAGATAGGCCCTTAAACAATTTTTTAAAAAAATCCACGCCTAAAGATAGGCCCTAAAATATTTTTTTTTTAAAATTCACGCCTAAAGATAGGCCCTAACATATTTTTGTTTTTAAAAATCCACGCCTAAAGATAGGCCTTAAAATATGTTTTTTAAAAATCCACGCCTAAAGATAGGCCTTAAAATATTTTTTTTAAAAAATCCACGCTTAAAGATAGGCCTTGACATATTTTTTTTTTTAAAAATCCACGCCTAAAGATAGGCCTTAAAATATTTGTTTATAAAAAATCCACGCCTAATGATAGCCCTAGAAAAATATTTTTTTTTAATATCCACGACTTATTTACTTACTTAGCTGGCTTGGGACAGAACTTTCATTCCATAAGCCGAGCTTAGAAAAGATTTCCAGGCGCGTCGGTCTTTTGCACAGTTTTTCCAATTTGTAAGACCATATTCGGCAATGTTGTCTTCCACTTCATCTTTCCATCTTATTCGCGGCCTTCCCTTGAACCATAAGCTGGTTCGCTTTTATATGCCTTCTGGAATGGGGCATCTTCATATATTCTCACAACATGACCTAGCCAACGTAGTCGCTGCAGCTCAGTACGTCCAACAATGCCGATGTCCGAGAATAGCTGGTACAACTCATGGTTCATTCGACGGCGATATTCACCGTCAACGCAGATCGACCGGTAGATCTTTCGGAGAATTTTTCTCTCAAACACTCCAAGAGCTGCCTCATCTGCTTGTGCAAGTACCATGCTTCAGATCCATATAACAGTACGGGTAGTATCAGCGTCTTGTAGAGTGTGAGTTTGGTCTGGAGGGAGGTAGCCTTGCTTTTGAGTTGTTTACTCAGACCATAGTAGCATCGGTTGGTCATCGTTATCCTTCTCTGAATTTCAAATCTGATGTCATTCGTTTTATTTATGGCGGTACCAAGGTACATAAAATCTTTGACTACCTCGAAGCTGTAGTTCTCAAGTTGCACAGTTGGTCCGAGTCTACTGGACGTTTTGCGCGTTGATACCATCAGCTTGGTCTTCTCGCCGTTTACCACTTTGGCAGACTCCTTCTCAATTTGCTCACAGGTGGCTGCTACTGCTCTCTACGTTCGATCCATTATGTCGATGTCATCGGCGTAGGCGAGTAACATGTGTTGTTGTGTGTACAGAGTGCCATTGCTGTTCACTTTTACCTCTCGTATGACCTTTTCCACCAGGATGATAAAAAGGTCACACGACAAACTATAACCTTGTCTGAATCCACGTTCGGTAATAAAGGGCTCCGAGAGGTCCTTTCCGACTTTAACAGCTGATCTTGTGCCAGTTAAAGTTATCCTGTATAGCCAAATAATTTTTCAGGAATGCCAAATGCAGGCATGGTTTTATACGCCTCTGAACGGAGGGCTCTCGAATGCGGCTTTTTAGTCGATGAATAGATGGAATGTGTCGATGTGTTTTTCGTGGGTTTTTTTCAGGATTTGGCGTAGAGTGAAAATCTGGTCAATGGTGGATTTTCCAGGTCTGAAGCCGCATTGGTATGGTCCAATAATGTCATTGACCATTGGCTTCAGTCGTTCGCGCAGTATGCTGGATGGCATTTTATATGCGATGGGAAGGAGTCTAATTCCTCTATAGTTGGCACATATAGTCTTGTCTACTTTTGCAGTATGCTGAGGTTTCAATCATTGGGTATGCATTTTTCTAGCCAGATTGTACTAATCAGCTGGTGCAAGCTCCTTACAAGCATCTGACTACCAGTCTTGAATAGAACGGCTTGTAACCCATCGGCTTTATTATTCTTCAGCCGATTGATTGCTATTCTGACTTCATCTTGGTGGTATACACTTTATACCGTCATCACATATTGGTTCTGGGGTATCCTCTTCACCACTACTATTTGATACCAGAAGTTTTTCAAAATGCTCCTTCCAGATCCTCAGCACGCTGTCTGTATCAGTCACCAGGTTTCCTTCTTCATATCTAGAAGAGGATTTTCCTGCACCAAAGCCTTCGGTTTGGTATTTTATCCGTTGGTAGAATTTTCGGACTTCATTCTGACTCCTGTACATCTCGATTTGCTCACGTTCACGTTTTTCTTTTTCTTCCTTCTTTTTTCTGAAAATATGTGTCTGCTCTCTCCTTTTCTCCCGATAGTTCTCCTTCACATTACGAGTTGCTACTGTCTGCAGGGTTGCCTTATACGCTGTAGCATTACGATACTCATGATCGTACCAGGGATATCATGATGATGGTCTTTGGTACCCATGTGTTGCTTTTGCTGCAGTTTGTGGGGAGTGGGCAATTCTCTGCCATTGTGCTTCTATACTATTATCGGGACAAGGGTTGCTTTCGTCAAGCAGTTGGGTAAGTTATACAGAATACCAGGGATATCATGATGATGGTCTTTGGTACCCATGTGTTGCTTTTGCTGCAGTTTGTAGGGAGGGGACAATTCTCTGCCATTGTGCTTCTATATTATTATCGGGACAAGGGATGCTTTCGTCAAGCAGTTGCGAAAGTTGAGCGGAGTAGACTTCTGCTATCTGTTGTGTTTGCAGCTTTTCGACGTCAGATTTCCGTGTTACATTAGATCGCACCTTTGCTGCTACATTACGGGACGGGTGCGTACCTTGGCTGCCACAAGGTAATGGTCCGAATCGATATTCGCTCCCCGGATCGATTTGACGTCTAAAACACTGGATGAATGCCTTCCGTCTATCACAAAATGATCGATTTGATTTCTCGTTGTTCGATCGGGAGAAATCCAAGAGGCCTTGTGTATATCGAGATACATGAATTCGGGGCTGTTTTTTTTGCTGCCGCGAAGTCAATCAACCTCATGTCGTTGTCTGATGTTGCTTCATGGAGGCTGAATTTTCCGACGCTGGGGTCAAAGATATTTTCCCTTCCGATTTTTGCTTTAAAATCTCCTAGCGGAATTTAAATGTCGTGGATTTTTTAAAAAATTAAATTTTAAGGCCTATCATTGGGCATGGATTTTTTTAATTTAATTTTCAGGGCCTACCATTAGGCGTGGATATAAATATATATATTTATGATGCCTATATGCAGCCGTGGATTTTTAAAAAAATATATTTTGATGGTTTGTCATCACTTCAAGTTTAAAAATTTATTTTCAATTCACCTCCACACCAAAACAATTTCCTCCATGTACATTTAAATCCCCAACCGAAATTACCAAAAACAAACTCCCAAAAATAAGCATAATTCTATTTGAATATTAACAAAAAATATTCAGCGATTTGAGTGTAAAAATCACAGCACTACATTAACAGGCATCAGAGACCGAATTACAAAACAGATCAAACACAACGCAACAACAAACCATCGCATCAGCCAGCCAACCAACCAAACATTCTGCAGGCAAAGCTATGGCATCAACAGCATTCATGTATACATTATCAGTGTAATGGTTGGATGGTTTGTTGCTTGGGCACGTGACTGGGAGGGAAAACGAAACAAATCTCACACGCACACACTCACATACAAACATAACGAAACGCAAAAAAAAACAATATTTCCACCAAAAATGTACTTACCTTTGTATGGCACACACCACATTTGTCGGCTTCAGTACCAGGGCAAATGTGACCGCATAACACATCAGTATGCCTGCCAGGAGAATATAGCTTAACTCCCTGCCGGATGCCCGGACAATTGGTGTGTCATTGTGTCTGCGGATGTGGTTAGTTCGTAATGGTCATTTCATTCCATTGCATCGCAGCATCATCATCATCATCGGTAGCATCGTTGAATAGGCAGCCAGGCAACAAATGTGTGTAAAAATAGTTGCAGTTGCCATAATGTTGCAGATTTTGAAAAGAGGAAAAAGGAGAGAGAGGTGGAAAATATCATTATAAGTGCTAATGAAAATTTAATATCATTTTAATAGCTAGGATTTAAGGCGAAATATTTTTGGAAATTATGTGAAAAATTTTTGCGGGTTAGACAAAAGTGGCAGTTTTTGGTGGCATGGAATGTCTAGTGAAGAGGTGGGACAGGAAATGTTTTAATGGGTCATAACGGATAAGGGGAATTTGTAAAAAAAATTACATTTCAAGGGCCTAAATAAGGTGTGTTTTTTTCAACAAATATTTTTTCAGGGACTCGAAAAAGGCTTCAAATTTTAGAACTATTTTTTCAAGGGTCATATATAGACGTGATTTTTTTAAATATTTTTTCATAGGCTAAACAAAGGCGTAGATTTTTATATTCTACACATCTATGTTGTCTGGGTATTATAGTGCAGCCCCAAGAGTTTGTAACGCCGCGAAATATTGGTCCTAGACCCACCATTAAGTATACCGATCGTCATATCTCGATTCGATGAATCGATCAAGACATGTGTGTCCGTCCGTCTGTTCATTATAATTTGCAAACACGATACAGGCCAATTGACCAATTTTCACGATTTTGCATGTAGGATGGGTTCTGGCCAATGAAGACCCCTATAGTTTTTGGTAAAGATCGGTTAATATTTAGGGGATGAAATGGACCAAATGTTTAATTTTTGTCGGGTTTTCTGGTCGCTTTAGAGGCCGCAATTATGGCACAAACATCGCGAATTCCTACATGGAGAAAGGGATCGGGCCAAAGAATAAGCGTGCCTGTTTCGATAAAGATCGGTCAGTATTTAGCGGGTCAAACGGACCCTGACTTTTGTGTGAAAAAATGACAAAATTTGTATTCTATAGCGTATATATTTACCCCTGAATGACATAGACCCGAGAAGTTGATATTATATCCAAGAGGAGTGGTTGACCTTTAAATTAATACCCATTATAATGTTGTATGTGCTCGGATGTGGGAGTTACACCTAAATATTTACAGGTATCTTCGTATCCGTATATTATTTAGTAACCCATTATCACTCTAGAGCGCGGAACTATAGCGCTTATCGCTTTGAAATGTTCCATAAGGTTCCAGTTATAGTCAAGGACAACGCCTATAATTTTCGGTGATGATCAGATAATAATTTTGGGAATGAAGTGGACCGAAAACTTAATTTTTTGTGTTATTTTCGAGTCGATATATATACCACAAATGAAAGCCGAACATCACAACACAACCCACGGTGAAGGGAATCTGGACAATAGCTGTACTGAATACTCGTAATATTCGGAAAATATGTCAGTGTGAGGAAGAGGTGCTGTTTACCTCTAATCGGGCAAGAGGATGCCAATATCACGAAATATTACCCAGGCTCGGAATAAACATCCGCAGAAAATTTGAGTTCCGTGGTAGTTGTGTAGGGTATCGTATGGTCGGCCCCGTCCGACTATACTGCTCCGCTCACTGGTTAATTGTTATGGTTTCGAGAAAAATATTTTTAGAAATTCCATTGAAAACTGTTTTTGCTCATTTCTAACAGCTCTAACACAGACACACACCACTTATAACATTATTGTAATAAGGAAATGTTATGTGGTTGTTATTAAAAAGGTCATTACTGTGTGTGTGCGGGACATTGTATAATGTGTAAGTTCAAAATTTTGCAACATTGTTGTTGAACACAATACGATTTTTTTTTTGGGTATTTAACCAAAACCAGGGAAAAATTGAAAAAAGGATAGTATTGGCCATGAGTTTAAGGTTAAATGTATTTTTGGTACATGGCCAAATATTTTGAAAATGTATTTTTTTTGTTTTTGCAAAAATAAATAGAATGTTCAGAATGTAATATAAGTTGGGAATTTTTGATGTTTAGAGGTATTTTGTGTTTTGGGAAAATGTATTTTTTAAGGATACTTTGGTTTGGCCATGAACTTAATGGACTTGCCCTGAAACATATTAAAATTTTTCAAACATTTTTGGTTCTCCCAAAAATTGTCTGACTCCTCAATTTAAAAATGCCAAGGAAAAGTTGTTGAAATTCCAACTCCTTGTTATCCTTGCCATTAAGGATACAACAAATGGAAAGCATACATCATCAGAAAAACGTAGTCAAGTGGCCAGTACAATAATATATAGTGGTATCAATGTCATGCTGGACATTATCAACTATGGGAGATGCATTTGTAATGTCCATGGACATTTGTTATTTACCCAAGTCGCTTGGCAGGATATTCTACGACATGGATATCTGAGCAAATATCGAAGACAATCACTTGGCCAAAAAAAATAAAATCTTGAAAAATAAAATAAATAAAATATATTTTTATACGTTCTTCCATTACGGACATACATTGATATCCTTAGTAGCTAAACTTACCTCACAAATACACCCACAACAAACAGTGTCACCAATATTCCGGTTGCACTAAATGCCATCGCCCCAATGGCCCATGCGGATTCGGGTCGTAAATAAACCTCTGGTATGGTTTGGCAATATTGTTTGGTGGCATCGGGTAATGTACCCAATTGACAGGTTAGACATTGGGTTTCATCGGTGGGGTGGCGAATCTGCAATAAAAATGGAGAAAAAACAAAAAAGATAATGAAAAAAGGATAATAAGAAAAAGGATTAAAACAAATAAATCTTCTTATAAAACTCTCGAGATATTAAAAATAGATTCCTAACTTTAATCTCTACACCTTTTTACCAAGAAGAAGAAAATTAACTCTATCCGCCCTCAAACAATTGTCCTATAAAATCGATTATATTTACACCCTTCCTAGCCCTCTCCAACAATATCTCACTCATTTTGTCCTTATCCTTACCAAGTTACCGTCATTTCTTCTTCCGCAAACTGAAAAGTTTTACAATAAATCATGTTTCCCATGGTAAGCCAAGAAGTCCCCAGAAGCAGTAGTTATACGGACAAGATATGACAACAAGAAAAATAACACTTACAGCAACAACAACAACAATTGCAAACCTAAAGTTAATGGTATAAATATACTGTCAGCTTATACATGAGTAATAACATGTGGTGTTTGTACACGTTTCCGGTGTAGCATTACGACCAAGCGAACCTACTGACATGGCTGCCACAATCATGTCAGGTTAACAAGCCATCGAGCATGACACAGACACACACACACTTACTCGTACTCAGGGAATATGAGAAGGAAATAATAGAAAAATAAATAAACAAGGAAAAAAAACATTGAAAATTGTTTTCAAGTGATTTCAAAATGTAATCGAAAAAATCCTGAAAGCAAACAAACTAATATCACATTGATTATTGGATTTTGAAGGGGAAAGCAGGAAATTTAATTTTTCCAAGAACAATAAACAGGCAGGGAGTTTTAAGAAATATTTTTTTTTTCAACCACTAAACATAGGCCTACACAACTATGTCGTCAGGGTATTATAGCTTTGTGCCGCCCCAAAAGTTTGTAACGTCGCGAAATATTGGTCCAAGACTCACCTTTAAGTATACTAGCTGAGTCGATCTAAACATGTGTGTCCGTCCGTCCGATACAGGTCACTGTTATGGACCAATCTTCACGAAATTGTGCATGTAAGATGGGTTCTGGCCAATGAAGGCCACTATTGTTTTTGGTAAAGATCGGTTAATATTTAAGGGATGAAAGGGACGAAATACTTTTTTTTTTGACCGTTTTTCTGGTCCCTCCAGAGGCCCCAAATACGGCCCGAACATAGCGAAATTTTACATGGAGAACCGAATCGGGCTGAAGAATAAGCAATGCTGTTTTGATAAAGATCTCTCAATATTTAGCGGGTTAAATGGGCCCTGACTTTTGGTGGAAAAATGACAAGACTGGTGGCCAGATGCTGGTCAGGAACATGCGTCAGCTGATTAGTACAATTTGGCTAGATGAATGCATGTCCAATGATTGGAACCTCAGCATCCTTTGTCCCGTGCACGAAAAAGGAGACAAGACGATATGTGCCAACTATAGAGGAATAAGCCTCGTTCCCATCGCATATAAAGTGCTATACAGTGTGCTATGTCATCGACACATACCACCTATTTGTCGACTATAAAGCCGCATTCGACAGCCCTATCCGTCCAGAGGTGTTTAAAGTCATGTCTACGTTCGGAATTCCTGCAAAATTAATACGGCTATGCAGGATAACTTTAAGTGGCACAATGTCAGCGGTTAAAGTAGGAAAGGACCTATCGGAGCCCTTCAATACCGAACGAGGATTCAGACAAAATGACAGTTTGTCGTGTGATCTTTTTAACATCATACGAGACGCAAAATTGAACAGAAATGGCACACTGTACACCAAACAACACATGTTCCTGGCCTACGCCGATAACATCGATATAATGGGTCGAACGTTACGAGCGGTAACAGCCACCTTTGAACAAATTGCGTAGGAGTCTGCCAAAGTGAGTTTGGCAGTAAATGGCGAGAAGACCAGTCTGATGATATCAATGCGCAAGACGTCCAGTAGATTCGGACCAACTGTGGAATTTGAGAACTACAGCTTCGAGTTAAAGACTTTAGATACCTTGGTACCGCCATAAATAAAACGACTGACATCAGTTTTGAAATTCGGAGAAGGAGTGTGATGGCCAACAGATGCTACTATGGTCTAAGTAAGTAGTTTAGAAGCAAGGCTACTTCCCGCCAGACCAAACTCACACTTTACAAGACGCTGATACTACCCGTGCTATTATATGGATCAGAAGCATGGTTACTTGCGTAAGCAGATGAGGCAGCTCTTGAGGTGTTTGAAAGAAAAATTCTCCGAAAGATCTACGGGCCGATCTGCGTCGACGGTGAATATCGGCGTCGAATGAACCATGAACTGTACCAGCTATTCTCGGACATCGACATAGTCAGTCGTATTGAGCTGCAGCGACTACGGTGGCTAGGCCATGTTGTGCGGATGAATGAGAATGCCCAAGCTCAAAAGGCATATAAAAACGAGCCTACTCATGGTTCCCGTAGAAGGGGAAGGCCACGAATTAGATGGAAAGACCAAGTAGAAAAGAACATCCTGGAACGTGGTCTTCCAAATTTGAGGATTTGCGTACAAGACCGACGCGATTGGAAATCTTTTTTAAGCTCGGCTTATGGAACAACCGTTCTGTAACAAGCCAGCTAAGTAATGACAAAATTTGTATTCTATAGCGTATATATTTACTCCTGAAGGACATAGACCCCAGAAGTTGATAATATATCGAAGAGGAGTGGTTGACCTTTGAATTGATACCAATTATATTGTCGTATGTACTCGTATGTGGGAGTTGTGCAGGGTATCGTATGGTAGTTGTGTAGGGTATCGTATGGTCGGCCCGTCCGACTATACTGCTCCGCTCACTGGTTTACAAATATTTTTCTATATCTTCTTTGACAAAAATATTTTTAAACCAGTATGCGGAGCCGTATAGTCGGACGGGCCGACCATACGATAATCTACACAACTACCACAGAACTTTATCTTTCTGCGGATTTTTATTCCGAGCCTGGGTAATATTTCGTGACAATAGGGGTCTTCATTGGACAGAATCAATCCTACATGTAAAATTTCGTCCATAACTTTGGACTGTATCGTGTTTACTAATTGTAA